GGAACAGAAGTAATTTTCATAACATTTGCACACGTTTTGCTGGGAAAAATAAAATAAAATCAAGCAAAAAGAGGACGACAGTAAAAAAATAAATACTGAAACTGACTGAAAGCACTGTTTATTTCAGGGGTGGCCAGTTCCAGTCCTCGAGGGCCGCTGTCCTGCTTGTTTTCCAACTATCCCTGCCTGACCTGCTGCTGATTACCTGGCTCAGGTGTTCAGCCAGTCAGAAGCTGGAAGATACCATCTTAGATGTGTCGTGGCTGGAGTGTAATGCCGACTAAATTAATTCAGACAAACCATCCCAATTTAAAGGATCATTTAATATTACAATTATTCTGAATATAGTATTTGAACACATAATCTTGTAGATAGGGAACAGAGAACAGATTCACTCCTCCTGCAATGGAATAGATACAGTATTACATGAGAACTGTCACAGAGTCAGTCAGTCTTTGTCAGCCCACAGTCAGTTGTCAGTCTTAATTCAGCGTCCCCACAAAGTACACGGTTTACTGTCCCAATAGCACTGTCATCCTCTCTCTCTCTTCTTCTGCTCTAACCCAGCTTTTTATCTGCTCGTACTCACACAGCCCTCCATGGCCTGAGCCATGAAGACGTGGTCCCATGCCAGCTACCCACACACACCTTCTTCCGAGCATTGTCTAAACTGTCCAGTACATGAACTGCTAGGTCGCATTGACCTAGCGCACATTTCCTTTTTCTAAACCTGAACAGAGCACACGAACAGTTCACATAAGGCTACAGCTATAGTATATCCATTCCCTATCTGAGGAGGAAGTCACTCAGGATGTTGACCCATAGGTTAAACAAGGGAGACACAGCCCAAGATATTCTTGCCTGCGCCAGAAACAGATCAAGCGTCCGTACACACTTAGCTCAGCCTTACATCCTTCCACAACTAAAACAAATAATATCTAAATATGAACTACATACTGTTCTATTACACATTACCTCTGGAACCTTGTTTATTGTTAACCACTACAGATGAAAGTGGAGTGAGGAAAGATAAAGTGAATTGGTATCTTCCATCTTCTGACTGGCTGAACACACCTGAGCCAGATAATCAGCAGCAGGTCAGGCAGGGATAGTTGGAAAACAAGCAGGACAGCGGCCCTCGAGGACTGGAATTGGCCACCCTTGAAGCGATGTATCCGTCCCATTATTTTTAGTCAACATAGGATAATACTCAATATTAGGAGCATTTTACTTTTCCTGACAAGTGCACAAAAAATACTATTTAAAAGTTGTTGTTTTTTTGCAAGTCTTCTTACAACAAACCTTACACCTGCATCAATCTCATCCACTGCTGTCTACATTCTTATGGTGATTTTGCATTTATTATTTTTCCTGCTCCACCACAGGTTGATTCTCCAACTAATGAACCTAGCTCAAGAATGAATTGCAGAAAAATGGGCAGTAATTCAAAAGGTGTGGAAATTTTCAACATCTACACAGTGACTTAAGCTTCCGTCTTCCTGCTCGAAACCTGAAAGATGGGATCAGATCCTTACCGTAGCGCATCATCATGTCACCTCCTTCCCTATGCCCTTGGCTCTGTAGAAAACAAGGGGAATATAGTGTCCACATATAAAGAGATATACGCAGGAAACGACTGACATGTACAAACCCCGGCACAGGCTGACTGTAGATATTTGCCAAGCCTTTGATTTTGAATCACTTTTAAGATGAGCACAATGAGCATCACCTGCCACCATGATCTCCAGCTCAGCCAAGGAGAGGTCTGTTGGGTCCGTCGGGAACATGTTGACATCTCCCATCATGCACTGCTCCTCTTCTATACTGGGATCTGCCCATTGCTGCTTATCCAAGATGATGAATGTGCACTCTGGGGGAAAAAAGTCAAATTAAACAGCTTTTCTTTAAGTAAAAGTTGAATGAGTTTACTAGTGCATGACCTCAGAAAGAACGTCTTATTTTTATATCATATCCAATGATTACCTGTTATTTCTAAGCACTTTAACGAATCTGATGGATGATGGTACAAATGTCTGGAAGGAATGATTTGGAAGCCATAAGGACAGAACTTGAAAGCAGTGTTGACTTCATAAAGCAAATGTCACTGAAATCATATTTCACTTTATCCTATCATAAGTTGTATTAACCAAGATTTTTTTCTGTTTTATTTAGGTAGTTTTCAGAGAAATAAAAGGTGTCCAGTTATTCACATGCAAAACAAATCTCAGGTTAAAGGTGTAGGCTAGATATTGACCGCGCCCTGACAAGGAAGCTAACCCCGACCTGCTGTACCAAAGTCGGTGGTCACACAATTTAATTGCTTAAAACAAACATTAAAATTAACATGGTACATGTTAAGACACAGAGAGCAACTACGTAACACACACACACACACACACACACACACACACACGCAGTCAAAGCAATACAGTGTTGCACAGTAGCATGCAGTAGTGAAGTACTTGACCAAACAAACTGTTGGGAGCAACTTCAAATACCAGTAACACATTCTGTCAGCATTTAACTGCAAATATGATCAACTGTTTCTGAGCTGCAAGACATACCTTTTAAAACAGTCCTCTTGAACAGACGCCGTTCCACTTGTCTGTTGTAATGTTAACTTTGGTGCCTCACTTGGGTAGCGAGATTGCAGGCGAGTCCTCCGATATGCTGTTGTACTTGAGTAGGCATCTGATTTTTTTGCTGAGTGGTCAAACAGTTTACGCTGACACCACTCCGGTGTCATTCTCTGATCAGCACAACCTTACCCACTACTCCTGCGTTTTTGCCTTACAAGCTGATGCTTTGATTTGATTTTCATTTGATTTATTCTTTCAAGCATGTAAAAACTGTTGATATGACCACACACATACACATAATCCAATATCAATTTGCTTATACCTAGTACATGCTTGAATGGAGTAGGAAGAAGTCAGACTTATCCAGTCCTACCCCATGACATCATCTTACCATCATTGGTTTGCAAGCAGTAAATGATTCACTTCTACCCACACAAAGTAATATACAAAAGAATTATTACAAAGTGTTAACATTCATACACCACACCCACAATGTTCCAT